TTCCTGTTTGGCTGTGACTCCATCCTGGAGAGAAATATCAGCTGTGCTGCTGCCATCAACACCTTCAAACTGGGCCTGTTTATTTGTTTTTAGTCCTGTTTATCTCAAAGACTATAAACTGAGCTTTTACCGTGACTAACTGGGTGAGCTGTCTGTGGCTGCAGGCTTGGTATTTCTTGCCTTCTTTACAGTTGTTTGTCCTGCCTTAAAACTTGAATACTGGCAGAGTTTTCCTTGGTTTCTTCTTAAAAGGTTGAAACAGGACTAGATGGATTCTTGCTTTTTAGTGAATGCATGCTGTGAGAATTTAGCTTGCAGGTAACTGCAACAGCGACAAAAAAGGATAGTGGAGGATTAATTCTGAAAACACAGAAAAGAATGGTTCAATGAAACCCTTTTTTTTCCCCTTTGATGAATTTAATCAATTGAAATCTGCTTTTAGAGTCTTTTATATAACATGCAAAACTTCCTGCCATAACACGGATTTTTACATCTTTTACTATTGTTCCTTTCCAAATAGCATCAAGTTTGTGCTATCAGCGGCTGCTGGGAAAATACTTGGCAGTGTTGCCGTACACTTCTGTTTCCTCTGCTGTAGGTTTTTAATCAGCTGCATGCATGCAGACAACAGTGTTCTCAGGCTCTAATAAACAGGTGAGGTGGACACATTTTCCTTTTAAAGACTTTCAAGCTATTGTTGTAGTTTATGTTTTATAAAATAAAATGTGACGTTTTGATGCCTGAATTTATATACATGCATATAAAATAATTATTTTGTGTTTATTTTTACCTTAAAGTGGTTTTTAAAAGTTGGGATGATCACTTTGATTGCACTGACTGTGTTGTAACTGGGATTCCCCAGCTATTTTAGTTGTTTGAGTATCGCATATGGCTTGTCGCATTGGTTTATGGTTTGTTGAAACTACCAGTTTTAGTCCGTGAGGCAGATACCCTGTCTTCTTTTAAGACTAGGCTTAAAACTTTCCTTTTTGATAAAGCTTATAGTTAGAGTGGCTCAGGTTATCCTGAGCTATCTCTATGGTTATGCTGCTATAGGCTTAGACTGCTGGAGGACATAGGGACCTCTTTTTCATGATTCTACTTCATTCTTTCTCTATTCTCCCATTCTTCAGAGTCTGTTGGTTCAATCTCTAACGTTCTACTCTCTCTGCTTTCTCTCAAAGTAGCTTCATCTGGTCTATTCCTGTTTGGCTGTGACTCCATTCTGGAGAGAAATATCAGATGTGCCGCTAAATAATATGGTTTGTTGCATATTTGCAATAACAGGAATCAATTGCTTAATACATAATAGGCAACTACAGTAAAATATTTCTTGGAATCCTAAAATAATTTATTCATTTGAATATGACAGACTATAACCCCGTGGAGAAAGAGATGTTCCAGTATACCTGCATTCCTAGAAATCCCATCCCAATGGAGTTGATTGTTCCCAGAATCCCTTCTGGGTCAAAGGGCTGCACAGTGAGATACATCTCCTGCGATATACGAGCAAAAAGCAAGAACAACAAGCACATTTTGTCTTTTTGTTTGTTTGTGAATAATATGTTAAATAGTAAGAGAAATATACCTACTTTGCAAGTGGGGTATCTGAACATGTTATCACCAAACATCCACCTGTCGATGAATCCTGCTGCACCCCCAGTGCAGTTTGGGTAAAGACCACCATCGCCGATTCCACCAGCTCCTAAATACCCTCTGAAGAGCAAACAGTGAAACTGTTATGATGATAATATAATTATAATTACAGTCTAAAACTACAACTATAATATAATTTAAAGTAAAAGATTACATTAATAACACCAACAATCAGTGGGATAAAAAAGGCTGATTGGATCTGACTGAGCAATAAATGATTTTTTATTTTCTTTAAAGGCATCAAAAACAAAAGATTGTAATTTTTTATCTATTCATGCAAAAAAAATCTAATAAGGTTTGGAAGAACTTTTTGGTTTAGCTTAGCAATTCTGTTAAGAAAAAAATGTTTTAAATGCAATAATGGAAGTAATTTGTTGTTTCCTCATTTTACACAAAATAAAAAATTAAAGTATGGAACTTGACACATTTTTTTAATCTTATCTGAAGGTCAATAGATGTTAAACGTATGTCTTGCATTAAAGTACAGTTTCCTGCAATCAGTCTGTTTGTAATAAAACTATGCAAAATAAAGAAAAAAAAATGGAATGACTGTTTAGGAGAGAAAATCAAAAATGTGTGTTAGCCACTAAACGTCTGATTGGTTCAGCTCTATATACAAGTTTGATTAAAATACACAAAATTATGTCAAGTAATGTAAACAAGCTGGCTTTTAAACAAGGTATTCCAGCACAGCATTGATTTTTACTCATCACAGCTTCCTATTCCTGTTTAAAAAAAAGAAAAAAGCATCAAATATTTAAAACAAATGGTTACAATGTGACCTCTCATCATTTCTAAAGTTTTCTCCATGCAAGGTCGCAAAGATGGAGACATAAATGCACGAGAAGCAGAAGTCCCAGAGCGAGGAAGATGGATCCTCCTGCCTCCTCTTCTTCTATTGCAAACAACAGACTGAGATTGGCTAATTACACCCTCTGAAGCGTCCACCACAGGCCTATAAATCACTGTGGGTCAGAACACCTGCGACGCTAGGTGCACTCTAACACCTTCTGCAAAAGAGATCCAAATGGAGGTCATCTGCTGATGGAGGGATGTAGAAATCTATTCTTCTAACATGCATAACGACTGTAGAATGATAAGAAAGCAGGGGAGCCTCGTTTGAACTTACCTGGGGCAGCTGGGTACCGGCAGGAGGAAAGTGATGCAGAGCCATAAAGTCTCCAGCAGGATGACAATCACCCACTGAGGCCAGTAAAGGAAAATATCCTGCATAGCGTTTCTCCAGTGATGCTGCAGCCAGAAATGTTATATAGAGGGTTTTATTTACATTACAGCATTACAATAAGATAGATATCCTATTTCATGAATTTTCAAATTCTATTCTTATGCAAGTATCCATTCCTTAAAGGAATAGTACACTCAAAACATGATTAGCCTTCATTTTCTACTCACCCCCATGCTGAACAACACTCTGGAGTACTTTTTTGATATCTCAAATGCATCTGGAGAT